GAAAAAAATTGAAAAGTTGTAAGATTATAAATTGAAAACTTGAAAAATTGCTAATTGAATAAATGCGAAATTGAAAAATTATCGAAACCAAAAATTTTAAAATAGAAAAATTAAATAACGAGACAAAAATTGAAAATTAAAATATTTAAAGGTTGTAAAAATGAAAAATTGCAAAATAAAAACCGAAGGTTGATAAGAAAACCAAAAAAATTAAAAATCATGTAGGAACTGAAAAATTAAAAATGGAGAAACTGTAAAATCGAAAATTAGTAAAATTAGAGACCAAAAATTTAAAATTGAAAATTCATAAAAATCACAAATCGAAAAAAATTGAGAAACAAAAAGCTGCGAGATCGAAAAATTTTAAATTGAAAAATTGAAAATTTAAAAACTGAATTCTCAAAAAGTTGCAAAAAAAAAATTCGAAATTGAAACAAAAAAGGTAATGAAAAATCAGAAACGGAAAATTAAATATCGAGAAACTAAAAATCGAAAAATTGGAAAAGTTAAAAGTCGAAAAAGTTATTCTTTGAAAAAGTGTAGAAACTCCAGAAATTGGGAATTGAAAAAATGTGAAATGGAAAAATTAAAAAAATCCACAAATTGAAAAATCGAGAAATTAAACCACCATAATGAAAATCGAAAAAACTCAAAAACAAAAATTCGAGTAATGAGAACTTAAAAAATTAAAAATCCAGAATTTAAAAATCAAAAAATTGAAAAGGAAAAATTGGAAAATTTAAGAGACGAAAATCTGAAAAGTTGAAAATTCGAAATAATTCAAAATTGAGAAATAGAAAAAAACGAAAAATTGAAAAATGAAAAATTTCCAAGTATCAAAATTAAAAATTTTAAAAATTGCAAACCAAAAAGTGCAAAATTGAAAATAGACAATAAATCGCATAACTGGAAAATGTTAGAAATTGAAAACTCAAAAAAATAGAAATTAAAAAAAAATTAGAAATCGGAATGTCAAAGAAATTGATGAATTGAAGAAACGAAAAATTAAACATCCGGGAACAAAAAATGATACAGAAAATTCCAGAAATTTAAAAATTTAAAATTCGTAGTAGAAAAATTGTAAGACATCGAAAAAATTGATGAGAAAAAAACCTGAAAGATTGAAAAATGCAAAAATGGGATAATCGAAAAATTGAGAAATTCAGAAGTTGAAGAAAACTCGAGAATTTGCAGATCGAATTAATTGAAGAAATTATAACCTGCAAAATTAAAAAATGAAAAATTGAAAACTGAAAAAAATATCGAAAAATTGAAAGGTTAAAAATCGAACTTTCGAGAAAAAGGTAAAATGAAAAATGGAAAAAATGAAAAGTTAAAAAATGGAACTAAAAATCGACAAAATAAAAAAATCGAAAAGTTGGAACATTTTAAATCAGAAAAATTGAATAACGAGACAAAAATTGAAAATTAAAATATTTAGAGGTTGTAAAAACGAAAAATTGCAACATAAAAGAAGAGTGATAAGAAAACCAGAAAAATTAAAAACTAAGTAGGAACTGATAAATTAAAAATCGAGAAACTGAAAAATCGAAAATAGCAAAATTGTAAAATTGAAAAATTGAAAAGTTGAAAAATCGAAAATTAGTAAAATTAGAGATACGAAAAATTAGAAAATCACAAATCGAAAAAAATTGTGAAACAAAAAGCTACAAAATAGAAAAATTTTAAATTGAAAAATTGAAAGTTTTAAATATCGAGAAACTAAAAATCGAAAAATTGGAAAATTCAAAAGTTGAAAATTAAAATATGTATTTAAAGGATGTAAAAATGAAAAATTGCAAAAGAAAAAAAGAAGACTGATAAGAAAACCAGAAAAATTAAAAATCAATTAGAAACTGAAATATTAAAAATCGAGAAACTGAAAAATCGAAAATAGCAAAATTGTAAAATTCATAAGTTGACTCATTATTTGAAAAAGTGTAGAAATGAAAAGTCGAAAACTCCAAAAATTGGGATTTGAAAAAATGTGAAATGGAAAAATAAAAAAAATCCACAAATTGAAAAATCGAGAAATTCAATCACGTGAATAAAAATCGAAAAAACTCAAAAAACCTAAAAACCGAGTAACTGAAAAATTACGAAATGAGAACTTTAAAAATTAAAAATCTAGTAATTGGAAAATCGAAAAATTGAGAAGACAAAATTGGAAAATGCAAAATACGAAAATTTTAAAAGTTGAAAAATCGAAAAATTATAAAATAGAAATTGAATACACGAAAAATTGCAAATCGAAATTATTCAAAATGTGAAAAATCGAAAAAATCCAACTTTCAATATTAAGAATTTATAAAATTGCAGACCAAAAAATGCAAAATTGAAAACTCAAAAAAATTCAAATTAAAAAAATTGGAAATTGAAATGTCGAAGAAATTGATAAATTGAAGAAACGAAAAATTAAACATACCGGAACAAAAATTGAATTGAAGAAACGAAAAGTTGAAAAATAGAAAAACCAAAAAAAGAGAATCAGAAAATTCCAAAAATTTAAACATCGAAAAAATTGATGAGAAAAAACTGAGAGATCGAAAAATACAAAAGTTGGATAATCGAAAATTGAGAAGTTTAGAAGTTGAAAAATTCAAAATTTGCAGATCGAAAAAAATGAAGAAACGAAAATCTGCAAGATCGAAAAACGCCAAGTTTCAAAATTGAGGCTCGAATAACTGCAAATCAAAAAATGTAAAATTGAAAACTGAAAAAAATTGGAAAAATCGAAAAACCAAAGATTCAAAAATGGAAAAATCGAACATCAGAGAAAACGGTAAAATGAAGAAGAAATGAAAAGTTGAAAAATCGAAAAACTAAAAATCGAGAAATAAAAAAAATCGAAAAATTGGGAGATTGGAAACTTGCAAAATTGCGAACTGAAAAAAATGCGAAATTGAAAAATTGAAGAAACGAAAAATTTTAAAATGGAAAAATTAAACACCGAGACATAACATTCGAAAATTAAAATATTTAAAAGTTGTAAAACTAAAAATTGCTAAATAAAAATTGAAGAATGATAAGAATACTAGGAAAATTAAAAACCAACTAACTGAAAAGTTAAAAATCAAGAAACTGGAAAATCGAAAACAGCAAAATTGTAAAATTAAAAAGTTGAAAAATCGAAAATTAGAAAAATTTACACTCGAAAACTCAAAAAAAAAATGGAAAACAAAATCCTGCAAGATCGAAAAATTTAAATTTGAAAAATTGACATCTCAAAAAGTTACAAATAAAAAAAAATGCGAAATTGAAAAATAAAATGAAAATGAAAAATTAGAAACGGAAAATTAAGTATCGAGAAACGAAAAGTTACGAACTCCAAAAATTGCGAATTGAAAAAATGTGAAATTGAAAAATTAAAAAAAAACATACATATTGAAAAATCGAGGAATAAAAATCGAAAAACTCGAAAAACTAAAAATCGAGTGACTGAAAAATTACGAAATGAGAAATTGGGAAATCGAAAAATTCAAACGGAAAAATTGGAACATTCAGAAGTCGAAAATTTAAAAAGTTGGAAAATCAAGAGGAAAAACGCGAAATTAAAATATTTAAAAATTATAAAACGAAAAGTTACAAAATACAAATCGAAAAATGGAATCAGTTTGAAAAATCTGAAAAACCGAAAAATTAAAAATTGAGAAATTGAACAATGAAAAGTCGAGAAATTGAAACTTCAAAAATTAAAAAAATCGCGAATCGAAACCCCGAAAAATGGAAAAATTGAAGATTGAAAAATCGAAAAACTGAAAAAACCCAAAAGTTTGTGGCAGCAAAAAAAGCGATTATAATACCCAAATTTGCACCAGTTTGAATCTATCGGCACGAGTGCGGAAATTATTCTATGTTCTGAACTCGTAATGCAAGTAAATTACGTTGTTTACCAAAGAGGGAAAAACTTGGTACGTCGAAGGGTAATTGTTTCTGCAATTAATGCACCTATTTCCAAGTCTTCAACTCGTTAATCAAGAATTAATAACTTACTTGTCAAGCAGCTAAGCTGTGCAATGAAAAATTTATAATAGCATGCATTCACCACATCAAACATCTGGTTTTTCGAGTTTCCTTCGACGTAAGTTAATTTTTTTTTTAACTTTATACATATAAGAATAAAATTGCTGATTGGAACAACTCATCCAGGAATATATTCAGTCAAGAAATGTATTTGTTGTGCTCTAGAACTGTGGGAAGTTCTACAAAAAGAACTCCACAGCTCTAAAATAAAGTACACCATGTTTAAAAGAAGGCGCAAATAAGAAATTTTAGAATCTCTTTTATTTAATAAAATATTTAAGAAGAAATTAGCACAGTTATCATTATCACAACTTGGAAATCAGAAAGGTCACGATTTTTATTGTTGTTAACAATTGTTTTATGGAACAGTCTTAAGCTAAAAATATTTCCGTGTTTGTTTCATCTCGAATTATCGTAGACGTGACTCTAATTTTTTTTATTATGAGTTTCTCATTGTGATAATCTAATCAGCGTAATCGCTTTACTTTTAAAAATAAATTTATCAAACCACTAAAACTACTATATTGTACGTGTAATATAAGACAAATTTTGAAGTTCAAGCGAAGAAACAGACCTCCGAACTGTAGTTCCCACGTTCCTATTCCACTTCCGTCCCGATTGTGGTAAATATATCGTCCACCGACATTCGATTTTTTTCTAATAATCACCCAATAATTAAAGCGTTATATTTATATCGCCACTCCAATTAATTTTTTTCACCCAAATGCCACCGAAAACCGTCTTACTTTCCATGTCGTGTCAATGTCGGTTCTTTGACACAACACCGACAATGCAATGAACTCCAGGAAGTGACGCTACCACGATGTTAACAAGCCCCGACTCTGATACGTTTGTTTTGCAATAAAACTATTGAAGATGAAGGTCGTCACGCGGAGCGATTTTGCGTGACCTCTCGTTAAAAAGATCAAAACGTGGAACACAAATCTAAAAACTGAATATTGTCTGATTTTTTCCAGGTTTCGTGACCGTGGACTCGAACAACAATCTCCACCTGGGAAACTACCAGCAGGAATGGAAGAGTTTGCTCGTCAAGTATGGCGGCCTGTTGGCAATGATCATCATTCTGGGACTCATCGTCGTGCTCATGCCCCTGTGCGGCCTGTGTTTTTGCTGCTGTCGGTGCTGCGGCAAATGCGGGGCCAGGTCGCAGCCGTTCGACAAAAAACATGACCTGTGTAAGAAGATCGTACTCGCGACGATACTGATCGCGTTGGGGACGTTGCTGCTGTGAGTATTGCTGTTTTTGGGGGGTATTTTGTGCTAAAAAGCCGACGTCTTGTAACGAGTCGGGACTGGTGTTTGCACTGTTAACAAAATGTTAGATAAGTTTGACGTAACTACTTTCATTTTTCGGTGTGCGGAATAAAGCGTTAAAAAACGGCCACCACAATTATTAAAATAGAGCCGAAACCACTATTTGAGAGTTGGTGTTAAATTTGCCTTATTATTTGAGGTTGATGACACTTAAAATATATCATTTAGATTGCGGCGAATTGTGGTCTGTTTCAAAAAAAAAAAAAATCAAAAAAGCGGAAAAAAATTATGGACTTATCGTCTTGACATTAAACGTCTCGCTCACTCTGCGAGCCTTACTTTTTCGATCTCCCAGCTGTCTGAGAGACGACACATTGAGGGCTATAATTTACACTAATTACAAATATACAACACACTGTATATTTTCACAGATTTAGATTCCTTAATAAAAAAGAAGGAAAACTAGAACAAACACACAAATGTTTTTTTACCAGTTTTCAAGCTATTTGTACTTTTATTGAAGCTCCGCCATTTTTTAAAGATGGAGGTTTGGAAATTAGCACAAAATTTTTCATTATCGTGCTTTTGACGTAATAATAAAAAATAAAAATATTAAATACACTTGAAAATGTTACATGGAGTGTGTCCCATTTGAAAAATATGGGATCTAATTTGTTCATTTTTAACAAAGAATCTAAATTAATATATTAAAATATGTGAAGTCTTACTTAAAAATAAAAGCTGCTGTATAACTTTCAAAGGAAACACCCTGTATTTTTGAGAGTGATTTTAAACTGTTACCCTCAAGGTGATTCCCCTAGGCAATCTTTTTTTTTAATGGGGAAGGATAATTTTCCGTCATCAGATCCTTGGAACACCACCCTGTACTAACTTTTTCTAGGTTTATAGAAAATAAATATAATAACAACAAATCTGGCTTCAAAAGAAAGCTTTATTACGAATAATCTCGAAAATGTAATATATACAGTGTGTTCCATTTAAAATTATGAGATAGTGAGGGAACAAGGTATCTGATTTGTTGAGAATTTAATCTAATAAAAATATGTAAGGTCTTACTCACAAAATGCTACTATGGTGTGCAACGTTCAAAGGCACAGCCTGTATATTTGATTTTAAACTGTAACCCTGATGGTGATTCTATCACGTTAAATTTTTTTTAATAATGAGGATAGCATAATTTCAGTCACACCAGACTTGGAACACCCTGTATTGTTTTTTCTAGAATTGTAAAAAATAAAAATTGTTGACAGTTGACTACATTAAACGAAATAATCGAATAATATAACTAATTCAATAAATAAAACAAAAATAAAATATATTTCTTAAAATTGTAATTAGGAAAAATTTCAAAATAAAAATCGAAAAAATTGAAGAAACAAAATTGCAGGATCCAAAGATTTTAAAGTTGAAAGATCTAAAAATTCCTAGTTAAAAATTGAAAAAGCGAACAATTAGAAGTTCAAAAAATTGCAAATTGAAAAAATGTAAAATTGAAAAATAACAAAAAAATTGGAGTGACAAAAATTGCAAAAGAAAAATTGCAAAATAAAAAATTGGGGAATTGAAAAATCTCAAAATTGAAAAATTCAAAAGCTGTAAAATCGAAAATTTGAAAAATCGAAAAACTAAAACTCAAAAAAAAATTAAGGTTGAAAACTCTAAAAACTGCAATTCGAAAAAATTGAAGAAACAAAACTGTAAGATCGAAAAATTCCAAGTTTCCAAATTGAAATCTTCGAAAATTGACAAATAAACGAAAAATCGAAAAGTTGAAGAAACGAAAAACCGAAAAATTAAATATGGAGTAACTAAAAATCGAAAAAGTCAAAAGTTAATAAATCGAAAATTAGAAAAATTGAAAAACAAAAAATTGGGGAACTGATAAATTTCAAAATTCAAGCATTCAAAAGCTGCAAAATGGAAAAACTAGAAATCGAAAAAATTTAGGTTGAAAACTTGAAAAATTGAAAAACCGAAAAGTTGGAAGCACAAAAAATTAAAAATAAAAAATGCAAAATTGAAAAATATCAAAAATTGTCAAGTTGATGAAATGAAAAATCGAAAAATTAAATATGGAGTAACTAAAAATGGAAAAATTCAAAAATTTATATATCGAAAATTAGAGAAATTGAAAATTGGGGAACTGAAAAATCTCAAAATTGAAATATTCAAAACTGCAAAGTGGAAAATTTGAAAAATCGAAAAACTAGACGCCGAAAAATTTAAAATCGAAAGCTCGAAAAATTGAAAATCGAAAAAATCGAAGAAACAAAATTGCAAGATACAAGAAAATTTTAAAATTGAAAAATCCAACAATTCCAAATAAAATTGAAAAATAAAAAAATCTACAAATTAAAAATGAAGTAACAAAATTTCGAAAAATTCCAAAGGTGATAAATTGAAAATTGGAAAAATTGATAAATAAAAAATTGGGAAACTGAATAAACTCAAAATTGAAAAATTAAAATCTGCAAAATCGGAAATTTGGAAAATCGAAAAATGAGAAATCGAAAAATTTAAACTTGGAAACTCGAAAAATTGCAAAGTGAAAAAACTGAAGAAACAAAATTCGACGATTGAAAAATTTTAAAGTCGAAAAAAAAGAAAAATTCCGAGTTTCAAAATTGCAAACTTTAAAAATTGAAAAATGAAAAACTCAAAAATTGCAAATTGAAGAAACGCAAAATTGAAAAACAACAAGAATCGAAAAGCTGATGAAATTAAAAGTCGAAAAATTAACATGAAATAATTAAAAATCGAAAAATTCAAAATTTGATAAATCAGAAATTAGAAAAATTGAAAATTAATTGTAATTACGAAAAATTGCAAAGAAAAATTGAAAAATAAAAAACTGGGGAACTGAAGAATCTCAAAACTAAAAATCGAAAAATTTAAGGTTGAAAATTCGAAAAATTCCAAGTTTCAAAATTGAAAACTTGAAAAATTGTAAAACCGAAAAGTTCTAAGCTCAAAAAAATTGCAAATTGAAAAAATGCAAAATAGAAAAATATCAAAAGTCGTCAAGTTGATCAAATGAAAAATCAAAAAAGTAAATATGGAGTAACCAAAAATTGAAAAATTCAAAAGTTAATATATCGAAAATTAGATAAATTGAAAATTGGGGAATTGAAAAATTCAAAAGCTGTAAAATCGAAAAAATTGAAGAAACAAAATTGTAAGATCGAAAAATTTTAAAGTTGAAGAATCGAAAAATTCCAAATTTGCAAATTGAAAACTTGAAAATTTAAATATCGAGTAACAAAAAGTCGAAACGAAATGTTGAAAATCGGAAAACCAAAAATCGACAAACTGAAAATTCTAAAACTTTAAACATTTGAAATTGATAACTGAAAAAATTGTCAATTCAAAAAATTGATGAAACAAAAATTGGAATATCAAAAAATGTAAAAGTTGAAAAATCGAAAAATTCCAAATTTTAAAATTGGAAACTCAAAAAATTGCAAATTGAAAAAATGCAAAATTGAAAAATATCAAAATTCGGCAAGTTGATGGAATGAAAAATCGAAAAATTAAATATGGACTAACTAAAAATTGAAAAATTCAAAAGTTGATATATCGAAAATTAGAAAAACTAATTGTAATTACGAAAAGTTGCAAAGAAAAATTGGGGAACTGAGGAATCTCTTGCAAAAATTTAAAATCTGCAAAATCGAAAAACTAGAAATCGAAAATTTTAAGGTTGAAAACTGGACAAATTCCAAGTTTCAAAATTGAAAACTTGCAAAATTGAAAAACCAAAAAATTGGAAGTTCAAAAGATTTCAAATTGAAAAAATGCAAAATTGAAAAATATCAAAAATCGTCAAGTTGATCAAATGAAAAATCGAAAAATTAAATATGGAGTAACTAAAAATTGAAAAATTCAAAAGTAGATACATCGAAAATTAGATAAATTGAAAATTGGGGAACTGAAAAATCTCAAAATTGAAAAATTCATAAGCTTCAAAATCGAAATTTTGAAAAATCGAAAAACTAGAAATCGATAAATTATACATATACATAAAATCGAAAACTTGAAAATTGAAAAAATTGAAGAAACAATGTTGCAAATCAGAAAACCAAAGGTGTACTAACTGGAAAATTTGTCAATTCAAAAATTGATGAAACAAAATTGCAAGATACAAGAAAATTTTCAAATTGAAAAATCCAAAAATTCCAAGTTTAAAAATTGAAAAGTCGAAAAATTGAAAACTCAAAAAATTGCAAATTAAAAAATGCAAAATTAAAAAATAAAAAAATCGATAAATTAAAAATGAAGTAACAAAATTTCAAAAAATTCAAAAGGTGATAAATTGAAAATTGGAAAAATTGAAAAATAAAAATTGGGGAACTGAATAATCTCAAAATTGAAAAATTCAAATCTGCAAAATCGAAAATTTGGAAAATCGAAAAATGAGAAATCGAAAAATTTAAACTTGGAAACTCGAAAAATTGCAAAGTGAAAAAACTGGAGAAACAAAATTCGACGATTGAAAAATTTTAAAGTTGAAAAAAAAGAAAAATTCCGAGTTTCAAAATTGCAAACTTTAAAAATTGAAAAATGGAAAAATTGTAAACTCAAAAATTGCAAATTGAAAAAACGCAAAATTGAAAAACAACAAGAATCGAAAAGTTGATGAAATTAAAAATTGAAAAATTAACATGAACTAACTAAAAATCCAAAAATTTAAGGTTGAAAACTCGAAAAATTGCAAGTTTTAAAATAGAAAACTTGAAAAATTGTAAAACCGAAAAGTTCTAAGCTCAAAAAATTGCAAATTGAAAAAATGCAAAATCGAAAAATATCAAAAATCGTCAAGTCGATCAAATGAAAAATCAAAAAATTAAATATGGAGTAACCAAAAATTGAAAAATTTAAAAGTTGATATATCGAAAATTAAATAAATTGAAAATTGGGGAACTGAAACATTCAAAAGCTGCAAAATCGAAAAA